TTCTAATATGGCATTTTTTAAAACTACTTTGTCATTTTTATTTAGTGACATAGAATTATCGCAGATTTTAATTTTTTTTTTTCAAAATTTCAAAACTTTAATTTATAGATAATTAAAATAAAATTTTGATTTTGTAAATTTAATATAAAGTGTTTTTACTATTGAAATATGATTGTTCAATTTCAAGTTAGCTGGTCAATCGATTGTTCAAAATCAGTCAAAATCAATTGGTTAACTAGTCAATCAAAAGCCTTTGACTGACTGATGTTAGTCACAATTATGACTTGTTATTACTGTAACGATTAGCATACCTAACGTCATTATTGATAAACTGTAATTTTATTAATTTTATTATTTAGGAACTTATTACGTAGTCAAATTCTATTAACATATTCTATAAAAGGAAATCATGTTAACATCAATTGGCTGACAAATATATATATAGAAGGAATGAATGAACTGTACAATAATTTTGAACATTCTGAATAAACCACATTACAAATGTATTTGATGATTAATATAGCTTTGTGTAGATTTCTGCATTTTATATCAAGTATAAGGAAAAGTAATTTTAAATAAAAACAACCTAATCAATAGCTTACATCCTAAACAAAAATCCCTTTTTAACTAAACCACCTTTTTACAACCTTGCTCAAAACAAGACTACTTACTGAAATTCAAATAGAATCTAAGAGAATTAATATTTTAATGGAGTGATAGTTCATTTTCATTACACTGGTTATCACTTATTTACAAATTACTTTACTAATAAATAAAATTCAAATTTTCATAATTATTCTAAATATTATCCATTTCATGGTATAATTTGACAAAAGTAGAAAGTGATGAACTGAGTAAAATTTATGTAATTTTCTTTTTTTGTGTTAATTTTTAGGACCACTTTATTAGCTAAAGCAATTTAATCAACTTGCAATATCATCCTATTTTGTTAGCGTGGAAATATCAGTCAGTTTTCAATATATAATTCTATATATCTTTATGCAATATTCATTTTTTTGTTACTTATATTAAATTCTTTATGATTTGTAATTGTGTATGTATCATGAAAGAAGAGATAGTATAGAATAATAGTTGTTTCAAATAATTCTACCTGCTTTATCTTAATCCTCTATATGAAGATTGTTTTTATACAGAACAAAGTTATGATATCTAAAGTTTTCATTAATTTGTATTATTTATCCATCCATTAAATCGTAATTAAAAAAAAATCCAAAGTTAAAAATATTCAAGTGAATACGTCATATCATGTTATTTTTGCAAATGTGTACCAGGTTTGTGGAACAGCTCATATATAAATGTGATTGGTGCTATGTATGTGATGGTTAACTTGCACTTGTTCACATAATTGCCTCGTGATTGTATTTATCTCAGCGACTTAGTTTTTTCAATTCAAATCTTATTTTCACGCCTCATTTGTTACCCATGTGTCACAAACATAGAATATATTTCAGACGTGCGTTATTTTATATATGAATGAAATTGCTAAAAATATAATTTATTAATTAATATTTTATAAATTCAATTTTTTGCAATACAATTCTCTAAAAGAGGTTCTGATTGCAGGATTTGATTGAATCCAGTATACGAATATTACCTTAACAATGCGCATTCGTGAATTTGAAAGCAGACAACGAAGTAAATATCAAAGTAATTATTTTATAGTTTTAATGTTTAATTCATTTATGAATAAAATAATTTTTCGTGAATAAATAAATGGTTTAGTCACTTCATTACAAACATCTAATCTTCTAATTGTCACAGATTCAAGATGTGTCAATAAAATGTGATGGTGATGCAGAATCAAGAAAACCCTGTGATCCACAACTTGCAAATATGACAACTCGCCTTGCAAAAACAAACAGGTGAGTTATTAAAACACTGCCTCACCCAAGTTGAGGTTCTGTTTGGAAGCAATCAGGCATGAAATTGATTGGAGAAAACAATCCTCTGCAAGTATTTTAAATAAAAGATCATTTCAATTTCCCAGAGTTTTTACAGCTTTTAATTAAGTTAAAGGACGCAATTAGATTGGATTGATACATAAAACCTATTTTGGTCATCCCTGATCCAAAGAATATGGACTATATTCTGCAAATCATGCAAAGTTTACAAAAATTTATCGATTGTGCAAATTCGAGAAAAGGAAGCATCTATTTCATAACATCGTATTCCAATGTGCTCATGAACAGAATTGAAGAAAATGTTCAGTCGGGAGTTATATATAATATTTGATTGCAACCTACCGGTGGTCTCGCCGATGACACCAATTCCTTTTCCAATCACATCGTCAGAAGATCAGGTTGAAATTCCCCTTAATTTGCATTCATCTTCTGATGAATCTGAGGTCGTCTCTTGAAGGTACAAGTTTAATACGAAGAAACCATCAGAATAGCAACAACAACAACAAAGCAGCAGCAGCAACCGATCCTTTCTGAATCTAAGTGTTCTCACAGAGAAAGTAATGTATCACATCCTGTGAATCAATCGTCAATTATGATGACGCCAGCTCTTGAATATTCTGGTTTTCCATTAACCACTTACTCATACTGCAATCTCTATGATTATTATTTACCATCACCAACGGATGATGTTAGTTTCAACAACTTCAGTAACTGATAAGTGGCGATATCAGGGTTCGTTTGGGTTAGTGCATATATATTTTATAAAATCATAGCTTTTTATTTTTCATTATATTTTTATTTATCATCCCAATTCATGTTATACTAAAAAATGACTTTTTTTTTTATTTACACAACAACAACACAACATGTATTTCCTCCTCTCTTCATAAAAGAATTTGAATTTCTCTTTTTATTTATTAAAAATGGTATGATTTTTTTTTTAAATAAATCTTTTGTAAACTTTTTTTTTTGTTTCAGAGCTATGCAAATTATCTTTTAGAAAATCTTTTACAAATAAACAATACTAAACCAAAATTTAAAGGTTTAGTATGGTTTACTATTTTTAGCAAAGTTCAATAGGCTTTTTCCCGATATGGAACATGCTATAATTAAATACTTGTAAAGTGCGTCTGTGTTGATCACCAATAATTTTAAAATGAACAAATCGGGATTTATTTTTGTGAAATTCTAAATTTGTGAAAAAATCGAATGTTTTCATTTAACAGACGTTAAAAAAAATGTAAATTGGAGAACTCTATAATAAATAAGCATTCGATCACCAAAATTAGATATCTGTAGAGGTTATGCAAACGGATTATGCCAACAAAAGGATTTTTTTTTCATATGTAGCTCTGTGGGCAGATTCTCTTCTCTAGATGATTAGTTATAATGAATAAAAATATTTGTAAAAGGCGCAGTTGGTTATGATTGTGTTTTGCATGAAATTGTTGGGAGTGTGACTTCTACAACAAAAATTTATTAATTCTTTGGTTTTTTTTATTTTGTTAATTATAAATGATATTACAATACGATTCTATAAAGTTTTTCCGGTTCATACAACATTACAAGGTAGCTTAAAAGGCCCATGGCACATTTGTTTTTGTATTTGACACATTTCATCAAAATGGGTCCCCTTTTTTAAGTTTTACTTTCATTGAAGATAACGCGATTTTTATTTTTTTAAAAAAATCAAAGCCCCTATTTTATATCTTTCACGTTCAAAGTAATAAGGAATAATATGTCACTCCCAATGGACAATACCGAAATTAATCACTCGATAAAATCTCATCCGCATGGTTAATTTAATTAATTGACTTTGTTCATTAAGATCGCCGCGTAAAATTAAGATCTGCAAGTAGGTTTCTTTAAATAAAATTCGTATTTTTGAGACTTTAGATGTCACAAAGGTTTAATTGCGTAAGTAAACTACTTGTAAATAATTATAAGGCATGTAAATAAGGGGGAGGATAGGATAATAAAGAACCACGTAGGTACTTAAGAACGATGAATACCCAAACTCAAAAAGGCGTTGTTCTAATTTATCTCGTACAAACAGCAACACATATGCAAATTATTAAAGCTAGTTCACGGTTAGGTAATATTACGTTATTGCCGTATGTGTTGTATGACCATACGAGATTTTAACATTTTTAGTGGTTATTACTAACCAAAGGTCTCGAAATTTCTTTTTTTACACATTTTGTTCGACGGCATAAAAAAAGTAATTTGACGAAAAACGTCTCGAATGTTTAAAGTTTTTTTTTTTTTAAAAAAAAAAAGGTACAATTGGACGTGTTTCAGACGCTTTATTGCTAATTCAGGTCAATCATCAAAAGAAAAAATATAAGTATTGGAACGACTAATGATACAAACATTTATCTAAGATATGATAAAAAGCACCTCTTTTTAATATGGAATCAATAAATATAGTAACATGAAAAAAAAGTTGAACACCAACCGTTCTTTGACATATTACCCACATTTTATTTCATGATAATGTTGTCTCCCTTGAATTTATAATGATTTAATTTCGGTGTCACGATATAATTCTATTTAGAAATACCTTATTTTATGAGAAAATTCCCTTTCAAAAAACGATTGAAATGTCGAATTTTATTTTATTTGTTTTTTCATATAAATTGTTTTTTTTTTTAAAAAAAAAACAAAAGATCATTTTTCTTGATTCAGATAACAAAATAAATCACCAAATATGGTAAAAAATCAATATAATTTATGAAATTCATACACAGAATTATTATTTGAAACTCGTAATATCTTCATATATAAAGAAAAAATTATAATAAAGTTATTAATCAACATCCGGAATACTTGCTATGCAGGCGGAAAAGAAATTAACCGCAACAACGATTAAAAATTACACCTAAAATATAAGCCGAAATCGTTCAATAGGAACGAAAATATAATCACAAAAAAAATAAAAAAGGCCGTATTTGCGCAGTAAAGCCTAATTGGAATTTTGATAAAGAATCGTGACCAACCACCTTTGGCTTTTATTTGCTTGATTTTTTCTGATAAAATTTTGACGCGTTCAAGGTATTCAATTGAAATGGGAGCCTGATGGACCAAAAGAAGGCGTACATAACCTGCCTAGCATCATATTCGATTTATACCATTTCAGATTCCCAGTATGATGAAATGCTGCTTGTCAAATCCACCCATGCGGCAACTTTGCAAAATTCATCATTAAATGGAGAGAAAGTTATTAATTAGGGTTGACTAAAAAAAAAATTAAAAATCTAAAAATTGCAAATGATTATAAAATTGATCTATACAAATAAAACAAGTCCTGATGGCAATGGTAAACCAACGTCACGAAGTAATATCGCGGCACTAACAGCCAATCCACCACTCGCACTTTCAAAGTTGCGCAGGAAATTGATAAGACGATAATCAATTGCTAATGACCAAATTCAAAAAAGGATCACCTTCATCCTTAACTCTATCCATTCTCCGCATAACCCGCCACCATTCAAAACTGCACACTTCTCATCAACAACGTCCTCGTACTTTTTCTATCCCTGTTAAATACACGTGGTTTATATAATAAATCCTTCCCAAGTTATGCTCAATTCTTGGGTCGCTTCATTCTCATGAATAACATATCGAAAATATACAAACAATACTTAGCTTTAATCTAACGTCTGGAAGTCTCCACGATTCTATATCATAGATACTAAGTCATGGATGAGAGAGCGTGAAAGTATACAGATAACAGATATATTTGACATATTTTGATATCGTTTGCATATCCATTAAATTTAGACAAGACACACTCTAGTTTACTCGCACCAATCACATATATTATAGTCAAAATCAAGATTGATAATGATTGTATTTTTGTATTCTGCCGGAATTTCCATTGCATTAAAATTATATATATTTAATATGTTAAATTCATTCGTTTGAAAATAAATGACTACAAATCAGTTGATAACTTTACACATCACGAGTTCTTAATTTTTGCAACATAATCATGATTGTTATACGAGCACAACTTAAAATAAGAAGAGAAGTTTCGAACTTTTACGCCTCATATTAATTAGATAACCAAAAAGATGTCGTGAATCTCGAGATATTTATAAATCTTGTTATATTTACTTTTTATTATTGTCACAATTTATTGTTACGAAGATTGAATTCATTCATTTTTTTTTTTTTTTTTTAAAAAACAATCTGTGGGGCATACATAATTAAAACAATTTCCAAATTTGAAGTTTCACAAATTAGTCTTTTGTTAAATTGACTTTTATGGTATATCATCATTACACTTGTTTATACGCCCGATTTCGATCTGCATTTCCGAAATCCCCGAAACTGTCGAAATATCATCGAAGATTTCCTTTATAGGTATCGTTACGCAAATGAATGAATATTTTTTTTTTTTTGTCCAATCTCGGATTTCATCTCATACATAAGAGATTAATGATTGAATCCTTTCATGAAGTTTATAATAAACCGAGCAATCTTTTTTAATATCGCATAGAGGAATACACTTTCTTAGACATTTTCTGTTAAAACATAAGAAAGATATGATTTTGATACCTTATCTAATTGCCAATTAATATTTACAAATCATTGGCGTAAGATGATGCACTAGGTTACATTATACTCGACGTTAAAGTTAATCAGAGAATTATATGCGCATCGGGGAAAAAACCTTATCGCGTAAAAAAAAATAAGATTTCTTTCTGTTACGATTTTAACCGAATTTTCGAATTTACTAAACCGGTTCCAACCTCTTAAATGAATACAATTTTGCATCATAAGCATGAATGTTTTATGAGCACAACTTAAAATAAAAAGAGGAATTCCAAACTGTTACGTCTCATCAAAAAGATATATTTACTTTTATGGTAGTATCACAATTTATTGTTACGAAATTGAATTCATTCTTTTTTTTTTTTTAAGTTCAGACAATTAAATTTTATTTTTTTTAAAAAAAAACAAGGTTGCATAATTACGAGTATTTGAAGTTTCACATAAATTAGCCTTTGTAATTGACTTTTATGGAAGCATTAAATTTACAATACGCCGATTTCGATCTGCATTTCCGAAACCCCTTTATCGAATCTTTCCTTTTATATTAAGACATCGTTACGCAAGGGAATAAAATTTTTTTATTACAATTTCTGAATATCTCATACATGAGATTTAATGATTTCAGAATTGGTTTCTTCTTTACATGAAGTTTATAATAAATCCCGAGCAAGCTTTTTTTAATATCTCAAAAGGTACACTTTCTTAGACATTTCTGTTGAAACCTAAGAAAGATATAAATTTAAATATTTACTGTATAAAAAATCATTGGCGTAAGGAGGTTATATTTTTAAAAAAAAATACGGAATTATATCTGATATGCACTCGTTATCGCGTAAAAAAAAACAAGATTTCTTTCGGTTACAAAAAATACGGCTTATGTTACATGATACCAAAAGAAAACGGGGAAAAGAAACAAAAAAATTTTTGAAATTTGTTATAAAAACGGTCAAATATCCGACAAGAAGTTTTTTTTTTTCTTTAGATTTTTATTTAAAATCGCAACAAAAAAAAAAATAAAATAAAATAAAATAAATATATTATTTAACGAAATAATATCTTACGAAAATGAATAAAATGAATGCCTTTATCCTCCTTCTTTTGTTACAGGTACATTAATTTATTTTAAATATCTTTCTTTACCCTATCATTTAAATAAACAATTTTAACATTTTTTGATGAATATTAGGTACTTGTGATTTCTGCTCAACAATTAAAGTTAAAGTATCATACTGTTAGGATTCCTCCAGGTGGAGCATGGTTAAAATGCGCCGAATCTCCACAAATGATTAGTACGTATAATTTTATTTTATCTTATATTTTTTTTTTTTTTGGAATAACGCTCAATTTCACTAACAAACTTCCTTCAATTAGGCTACGCTATAGAATTGACTAGTGTAACTACCTCATTAGATCCAACCTATTATGGTGGTGAATATTACAAAATAAATAATTACAAACCTACTGAGGTAGGCTATGGATTCTATGCTGAGGTTACCGATTTAAAGAAATATATTATATCATCAGTATGTGGAGAATTCGGTCCAGGAGCTACGGTTGCTTGTGCGAGAGAAGGTCCAATTAACGCGCGCGGAATTTGGTGTTTAGCTATATCTAACCCATTTATCAATAACCAAAATGTTAAAGTTGTTGTTTCGTTTACTCAAAGTGTATTTGTTGAAGGTTCATATAGGAAGGATCCTGACCAAAATGATACCACCGTACAAGATAACCTTTCGTTCATCAAAGCTCCTTACAAGAACAAAAAGAGAAATTTTGGACGTAATAAAACATTTCGTCTCGATAGCTCTTTTTAATTAATCTTTTACATCTTAAATATTGTATGTTGCAATTTCACACAATTATAATGATAAATTTTATTTAATTCGTAATAATAAATTGTTCGATTATCCTTTTAATGACATAAAGATGCTTCAATAATAAAGAAACTTTTCTTGATTGAATGAAACAAATAAAATATGTGATCTTTTTTCTTGTCTGTAAGCACTGATAAAAATTGTTTAAACCAATAAAGATCCTAAATATAAAATCAATACTAGTCTAAATACTAAAAAAAAAATAATGTGGAAATTTAAATTTAAAGAAATCACATATATGTCAAATTCGAGATAAAAACTTTACCAAAATGTTCTTAATATATTCCATATTTTTCATTTCTGTTTAAAATTGGTTAAAAGTTTCGTTAAAAGTGACTATATAATGTTACAAATCAAATAAGTATGTAAACAATTAACTAATGTGCTTAAGTAAGACGTGAAAGATTTTACCTCTCTGCATTTTCAATTGTAATCATCGATGATAAGTATGCAGTTAGATTGCGTCAATACGAACTGATATACTAATGCAATGTCATCATATATAATTATAAACTGAAATTTTTAAATTCAATTTTTTTATTTCGTATATTTTATATAAGATCATCATCATTAATTTATTGGTTAATTTTTAAAATCACGATTTCCTGATGATGTCGATCAAAATTTATTTGAATACAGATTTTTGAAAAATACGATATGTTCTTCTAATTGAATGATTATTTTTTGCTTTTTCAGGTTGGATCATTTCGGTCTGAAGTTTAAATAAAAAAAAACCTTAAAATATAGAGAATGCAGCACCCGATGCGGTCGAAAAAAATGCATGAAAATAAAATAGAAATAAAATAAAACTAAAAAAAAAAAAAAAAAAATTTATTTAAAATAAAAGAACTTACTTATTTGCCAAAACTGAATAAAAATAAAAATAAAATTAAAAAATAAATAAAAAAAAATCGAAAAAAAAAGAAAGAAAAAGAAAACCCTACATTAAGCAGCAGCCCGAATGTGAACAAAAATCTTTAAAAAAAAAATAAAAAAATAAAAAACGATAAATAGTAAAAGAAAAGAAATATAATATCCTTAAAAAAAAAGAAACAAAAATAAAATAAAATTGGAAATTTAATGCTACAAAATTTAATAAATAAATGCCGCGAAATTTAAATTATAATTCGGCTAAAAGCTAAAATTCTAAAATGTAAAATTTTAAAGTTAACTATTACAATACCAACAATTATTTATAGTTTAACTTTAGTCAAGACTCTTGTTAATTAAGAATTTGAAACTTTAAATTACTATAAAAAAACTCTAGCATTGTAATATATTTACGAAATTGTAAAAAAAAAAAAAATTGGCATATTGTGATTGGTTAAATAATTTTTTATAATTTGTCTAAAGTTGGAATTCAGATAACAAAAAGGGTGTCTGAAGATCGTCTGATTACATACCACGTGCACAGTAATTTATGCATCTTGCATAAAGACGATTTCTCAAAAAAATAAAAATAAAAAGATCGGGGGAATAAAAAAAAAGTTAAAAATTAATAAAAAAAAAAAATAAAATTAAAAAAATCGGGGTGGGGGGAGAGGATAAAAAAAATATATATATTAAAAAAAAATAAATAAAAAATTAAATCAAAAAATAAAATAAAATTAAAAAGATCGCGAGGGGGATAAGAAAAAAAAAAATTTTTTTAAAAAAACAAAAGGATCGGGGGGATAAAAAAATATAAAAAAAAAATAATTCGTGTATTTACTAAACCGGTTCCAATCTCTTGAATGAATACAATTTTTGCATCAATAAGCATGAATGTTTTATGAGCACAACTTAAGATTAATTGAGGAGTCCCAAAATATTACGTATCATATTGATCCGATATCTATAAATCTAATTATATTTACTTTTATGGTTACGAAATTGAATTCTTTCGTTTCCTTTTTAAGTAACAATTTTTTTTTTAAAAAAAAAAAAGTTGCATTATTTGAAGTTTCACATAAATTAGTCTTTTATTTAATTGACTTTATGGAAGAATTAAATTTACGCCGATTTCGATCTGCATATCTTATCAAAGCTTTCCATTTACCGTATATTAAAGGTTTCGTTACGCAAGTGAATAAAATTTTATTTTCTATCATTAAAATTTTCTGATTTCATTATTGAATATCTCATACATAAGAGATTAATGATTTCAGAATTGGCTTCTTTCATTAAGTTTATAATAAACCGAGCAATCTTTTTTAATATCGCATAAAGGTACATTTTCTTAGACATTTCTTGTTGAAACCTAAATAAGATTTGAATTTCAAATATTTACTGCTAAAAAATCATTGGCGTAAGGTATACATTGTACTTGATGTTAAAAACAATACGAAATTATATGCTGTGTTATCACGTAAAAATAAGATTTTTTTTTTTGGTTACGAAAAACGCAGCTTATGTTGCATTATACCAAAAAGAGAACAAAATATTTTTTGAAATTTTGTTATAAAAACGGTCAATATCCGACAAGAAATTTTTTTTTTCTTCAGGTCTTTATTTAAAACCGCAACAAAAAAAAAAAAAAAATATTTAACGAAATTATATTTTACGAAAACATGAATAAAATGAATGCATTTATCCTTCTTCTCTTGTTACAGGTGCATTAATTTATTATAAATATATTTCCTTCATTAACCTTTAAAATGAATAATTTTAACAGTTCTTTTTTTGATAATTATTAGGCACTTATGATTTCTGCCCAACAATTGAAGTTTAAGCTTCATACTGTTAGCCTTCCCTCAGCTAGAGCATGGTTCAAATGCGCCGAATCTCCACAAATGATCAGTACGTATCAAATGTATTATTATTATTTTTATTTATCTTTTTTTTGGCATATCATACAATTTCACTAACATATTTTCTTTTAATTAGGCTACGCTATAGAATTGGCTAGTCAAACTGCACCATTAGATCCATCAGGTTATGGTGGCAAATATTACACATTAAATAATTAAAAACCTACCATGCAAGGCTATGGATTCTATGCTGAAGTTACCGATTTAACGAATGATATTGAACCATCAGTATGTGGAGAAATCGGTCCAGGAGCAGCGATTGCTTGTGCGAGAGAAGGCCCAATTTACACGAGCGGAATGTGGTGTTTAGCTGTATTTAACCCATTTCTCAATGCCCAAAAGGTTAACGTTGTTGTTTCGTTTACTCAAAGCGTATTTGTAGAAGGCTCTTATAGAGTGGACCCTAACCTAAATAATACCCCAGTGCCAAATAATCTTTCGTTTGTCGAAGTTTCTTACAAAAACAAAAAGAGAAATTTGGGGCGTAATAAAACACTTCGCCTCGATAACTCTTATTAATTAATCTTTAGCATAAATTTGGTAACTTCTATACGTTATTATACAATATTCTAAATGCAAAATTTTTATTTGCTTCGTAATAATAAATTATTTGATTATCCTCTTTTTATGAAATAAAAAATATATCATTAGTAAAATTCTTTTCTTGATCAGAACAAATAAAATGTTGTGATTTTCTTTCTTGTCTGTAAGCACTGACACAAGTTGTTAAAATAAATGATATAACTAAATAGAAATCTCTTTGTCAAATTATATGTAAACAATTTACTTTGTACTTAAGTAAATAAAAATTGGACGTGAAAGATTTTACCAATTGTAAGCATCGACGATAAAAATGGCGGCAAGTTTGAACTTGAATACTAATACAGTGTCATCAATTAATTATAAATAGTCAAAGCAACAAGGCCCCATTTGACTTGTTATATGATCAATCTTTATTGCGATTGTTATATACAAACACTTATTTGCTTTTAAGGCTGTATTTACGTAACATCTAATGACCTCCTATTTACACGTATTTTGTGGCACTAAAAAGTAATGACATATCTAAATCCGACTAGCGATATTGTTGATGAGTTCATAAAATTTGAACGCATCGTTTATTTCTGATTAAGTAAGTAAAATCATACTTTCTGACTTAGAAACTCAATTTGTGAACGAGTAATTTCGTGTAGAACACGTGACGCTTTATTATTTTGTTTATTACCCATAAATCTTTGGTTTTTTTTGGAGGCTTGGCTTTGCAATACTCATGAAGATAATTTTTCTAATGAATAGATTTATTACACCCTTGTTTTCCAGGATGCCAATGGTCGGTCATGAATGTTGTCCTTTGACCAACCGACCGTTTGACCGACCGTTGACCTTTAAAAAAAATATATATATATTATATTTCTGACTTTATCGAATTTACCTAAAGTATAACTTTATACCACATTGCTTGATGATATGGGCGCTTTTGAAATAGAAAGTGAGGAAACTTCAAAATAACATTTTTAATCTAATGTTAAATCTGGACTTAGAAAAATAAATATTACTTAATATACTAAATAATTTTTTTTAGTAATTAGTCAGTTTCCTTCTTTCTATTGCAAAGCTCACACATGACCGTTTATAAAATAATGTAAGTATATCACTTTTGCAGTACAAAGAAATTATTTATTAAAGCTATTGAGCTATTTTGTATTATACGATTTCTTTTGAACGAATTCTATATCGTTCTCTTGATAAAGAATGTCATTCTAACGATATGGAGGATTGTTTAAAGAACAATTATAAAATAAAAATCTCACTCACAAATACGAAAGTAATAGTTAACAAATTCTAGCTTATTTTACGTCATATTGATAAATAAAGGTATGATTGGTAGTGTATTACCGCGTCTAATAGAATCGACATTTCAAAATGTAATAATTAATCCTTCGTTTTATTAACAAATATTAATCTCGAAGGGACAAATCCTTTTCCATTTTATACCAATTTTTTAATAAGTTTATTAAATTTATTTAAAGTATCATTATTATCATTAAACTTTAGTTGCATATTAAGTATGCATAATATGGTATGCATAATATGCTATGCATAAGCAGATCGATCACAGGAAAATTCGAAATTTTGAGTATACGATATTACTTTTGATTAGTGAATTTTGATGATCATTTCTGCATTATTCACTTTTTTACTTAATTTGTTCTTTGGTTGTACAGATCTTCAGCAATCTCTATATATTTTAATCTATTTTGGTGAATCCGTTTAATGTGAATCTTTTTAAGCCCGACAATAGTCTGTAAGCCGAAACCATTTATTACAATATTATTGATGTTTTAAAGTATGAATTTTCAACCTACAAAATCGATATTATTTTTGTGATTATCATGATTAATTATTCTAATATTTGTTGAAGTTAAATGCAATTTGATAAAATACCGCAGTATCTGATCACGTTATCACCTATATTTGTACTACTGCATGTTCGGAGAATATTTTCCGATGATCTAATTTTGGTCGTGATAATTCCTTTTATATCCTTATTGAAACTACAAAGAATTTTTTTAAAAAAAAAATGGATGCAAATAGCCATGAAAAAATGAAGCCCAGAATTGTTCTTACCATTTACCGAGAAATTATGGTGTAAAGAATGTGATCCTTTGTGTAAGATTGAAGGGTGGACTAGTGGAAATTCTCATATTGATAAAGATACAATTTATGATACTTATCAGAATAATCATAGATATTATTTAAGATTTCTTGAATGGGTGCCTTTTGATAGATACACAGATATAAAAGAAATTGGTGAAGGAGGATTTGCCAAAGTGTATTCTGCAACATGGATTGATGGTCAATCGGAATTTAAAAGGCAAGATGACGGAAGGTGGAAAAAATCAGATCCTAAACCTATGAAGGTTGCTTTGAAAAAGTTAAATGGATCACGGGATATATTATTTAAATATTTTAATGAGGTATTTTACGTTAAAATTTGATATTAATTAAATAAAAATATTTCTAATTTGCGTTAAATTTTTTTTACGAAAACTAGCTTAAAACACATTGGGATTTTTGTAAAAATAGTATTGATTCTTTAGAATTTTATGGAATAACTAAAGATCCAGAAACCAAAGATTTTATTTATTATGATCGTAACATTTGCGCCTGATGGAAATTTGAGAAGTTATCTTTCAAATAATTTTAACAACTTATTATGGAAAGATAAAATTATTCGATTATTTTCTGTAATATCTAACCTTGATGAATTACATGAGTTAGGTTATTGTCATAAAGATTTTCATAGTGGAAATATCTTGTTATATAAGAATTTTTCTTATATTTCAGATTTTGGATTATCAAGACCGGCAGATAAACAAAAATCGGATGACAAAATATATGGAGTATTACCATATATCGCTCCTGAAGTTTTGAATGGGAAATTATACACTATAGCTTCTGACATTTACAGTTTTGGTGTAATTATGGCGGAAATTTCATCTGGGAACCCTCCATTTTATAATAGGAAACATGATTATAAATTATCCTTAGATATTTGTAACGGACTTTGTCCAGAATTTGGAAAAGGAACCCCTGCATTTTATAGGAAATTTGCTTATAAATGTATGGATGCAAATCCAAATCAAAGAGTAACTAGGAAATGATTTGTTTAATATATTGAATTTTTGGTATAGTTTTATATATGAATATGAGGAGAATAAATATGGATATTCTAGAAAAGAAATAAAGGAAGGGTTTGAACAAGCTGATAAAGAAATACCAATTTCATGTGCAGTATATAAAAGTAGAGCATTTAAACATTTGACAAAACCTATTAATTCGTCTCTTATCACCTCATATCTTGAAAAGTATGAGAATAATGAAGGTAATATACACTTAAGTTTTATATTTAATGACGAAATATATTAATTTAAATTCATTTTAACAGATTTTCCAAATTCTCAATTAATCGATTTAGGAATTTCTAGCTCATTACAATTATGAATTATCGATATTTATGATTGCAATTAAAAATATGAACTAATATTGATGAGTTATATTGTATAATTTATATAAAGTCAGCTTATTATGAACCAAAATGTAATTGATGCTGTTGAAATAGCAAGATATTTTATCTTATTATAACGATAACAATAATTAATTTTAAATGAAACTTTAACCATTTTATGGGTTGGATTTAGAAATTTCTCGATATTTTAAAGTTAATTTAGTGTTATTTTATTTTATAAATAAATTATATATATCTTATTATGATCAAAATATCCTGCCATCAAGTAGCAACCATTTAAAACCATGTCATCTCGTGTGTTTTATAGGAGCGTATTTCTGAATTTCCAAATATTTAAATATTTTATTACTTCTTAAATCAAATATAAAAATTTTTATCAATAACTAATCTTTCGAGTTATTCTATAAGAGCTATCTTGGAAAGGCTGGAAGAGTCAAATACAACACCGTTAGAGGTAAAATCGAGATATCAATTTTGCATCATAATAATTTGTACAATGCTATTAACTAATGATTTCAAATAAAAATTTTCATTTTAATAACAGTTCACGAGACGATAATATTGGCGGTGATGATGAAACAATCATAGAGTACTGTAGTATAAGCTTATTTAATATTACGTATATTTTCGTTTATTAGCAAAATTAAAGGGCAGAATATATTCAAAGCACGATCCCGTAGGTAATATGGAAAGTAAATGTTTTGCATGAAATGCAGGTAATATTTTGAAGTGAATGACTTTGTTATTTATATCGGAAATGTAAATGTTTGTCTTATACATGTTAATTAATTCTTTATGTCGATGTAATCAAGTCAGATTTCAACACGGGCTGCTATATTAATTACACATTATTTTTATTAAAAAATAACTAATGGATTTTATATTTGTTGGCGTTTAAATTAGGATTTTTTACTATTTGTCTGGCCAGGTTTATAGAATTTGGACACGAAAATGTGAAAATTTTCAAATTTCAACCATCTACGTCCTGATCGTCCATGAGATTTAAACCTTAATGAAATTATTATACCAGAATCTGGTAATACGTTAGTATTAATGGACGTAAGGGTGCAATGTAATGTTATTCAATTTTATGAGGTATTGGATATAGGTGTTGGTGCGAACTTTAATAATGCTTTAGTTGCGAGAATTTAAAACTCGTCATTTTATTTCTTGGCAATGGTTTTCGAAGAAAATTTGAATTTTTTGTTCTTTAAAGAAAGCAGCTGCAGTAGTTGACTCCGCACGATGATTCATTTTAATTTTTTTTTTTACCTAGTTAATTGATACAGAAATTGATCAACAAATCAAAAATTTTGAATTATTAAGAGTTTGCTTTTAGAATATTTAATCATTCAAAAAAGATGAACGAAATTTATTTTTCGAAAATTGAAAATCATTGACCATTACTTATGCGATCGTACATCTTACTGTCTTGAGAGAATCCTTAAAATTAAAATGGTAATTATATACATATATTTCCTGGTTCAGAAAAAGCTATTCATTTTTTATTAAATGATTTAACTTCATCATAGATCTTTAAGTTTCATGCTAACGGTAAGTCTGTTACCACTATACTAAATCAATTTTGTTATTAATAATCTAAATTGTATGAGAAATATAATTTATTACATATTCGTCATGTGAGACGTGGTCCAAACAATAATTAGTTGTTTTATTATTGTAGAATTTTTCATTCTACTATTAAAAAAGACGCATCCTTATCATTCTACCAATAATCTAAATCTTGATATTAAATACATTGTTTGTACTTTATTTTATTTACATACTACTTGAAATTATCTACATCTTAAGTCACGTTTTTCGTAAGTTAATCTATTAAGAATTATTTTTGTTTGAATTATACAGTCTACATTGAAAATATTCTTAACGAAATATTAATTCGAATAAATTCCACCCACATTCCTTCAACTAAGGTATTTTACGAAGAAATTTGTAATGTATAATGTCGACAAAGATAATAAATCTTTCACCGAAGCTCTTTGTTTATTCCCATAAAGGACAAGGTAAAGCTTATTTTAATATTAAAAAACAAAAAATTTTTTTTTTGGATATTTACGTTAAACGTGATTTATTTATATTTTTTACAAGAAATTGGATTCGGCAGAACCCACGTAGGATTGATAATATTAAAAGATTCCTTTCTAAACTACTCTCTCGAAACGTTCTACTTCAATATAACAGTAAGCATTTTGTTAAAACAAATTTAACAAAATCATCTTTTTTTTCCTGCATCAAACGTTTATACAAGTCTTTTAGTTCAGGCATTTATGGTTACCGCTTACTACATATCCCAACAAGTTTCACAAATACCACAAAACATACACGTGTACTTTCTAGGTTTATATTTTAAAGAGTGGTGTTAGCATGCATTATACTTCGTAAGTGCACTGTTTACTTTATTTAAGAAAACGAGTAACAATATAGCAAAGAACGCGTTAATATGCATTATTCAAAGAGATTTCAATAGTTTGTACTGCATATTTTCAATCTGAATATTAATGAGTACAAAAAAAATTCAAAATTTCAAACTGAATAATTAACGAGGTTTTGGCATAATTTGGCGATCAGCTGTAATGATTGCATCAAGTAATTTATCAATCTTACTATTTATCTCTTTAAGTTGATTAATATTAATTTCTTCATTCTCCTTTTCAGTTTCAGAACTATCATCATCAACGGAATAATCATCTTCTTCCTTATATAATAATTTTCTTTCAATAATTTTCTCCTCATAATCATCATATAAGTTTCTATCCTTATTAATTTTTTTAACATTCGCATCCCATTCTTCTTAACTTTTGGATTTGCCTATATAATAAATATATTTTGGTTCTGGTGATTGAGGATAGAAATAAATTTTATCCAATGCCTCATAATCCGATATCGATTCTGCACGAAATCTCAATAATGCAACACGACCTTTCTCATATGCTTTAGAATACACACCCCTAGTAATATATATATTTAATTATGTTAATTATTAGGTTCAAAAAAAAAACTTGGAGAAAATGAAATAAAACATACCCCATAAAAGCAATAAACATATTTTGTAAAATGGTTACTAAAAGAATGCTACCAATAAAAGTGATAACATTTACTGCCCAAAAATTCCATGTGTCCTGTTGTAAAAAGTCACCTTTTAACCAATTATATCTTGAAAGAAATGAGGTAAAGAAATTTTTAGCTGGGTTATCTTCAGTTCGATCAAAATCGTTTTGTATTTTGAGGTCAGTTGAACCACCCGTAAATAATGTAGAGGATGATATTTTTTCTGTAAGATTTGTATAATCAGGATATTCTAATAATAGTAAAAAACTATGTGCTATTTCTATCATCACAAGAATCATAAAAGAAAGAAACATCCAAGTCTCTTTAATAACATATAACATAATGTAGATGTTGTTAGTGATAATCCGTTTGCGTTGTTACGTTGGTTTTCGTAGCTTCAAATAAAATCTCAAAGGGTAAATAAAACTAAGACAATTACTCAAGGAATCACGGGTGAGGATTCACAATA